TAAAGCCCTGACCCAAATATGTTCCTCTACAAAAAAAGTATCTTGTCGTTACTCGAGTCAGAAAAAAAAGGAGATTAAAGGGATAAATAAATTAAAAAGAAGAAATTTAGATTTCTCAAATCTAAATAATGAAACTTTAAATATTGACGAGCACTACTCTCCGCAAGATGGCACTACTAGTTCGCCAAAATTACAAGATACAGTTATTAATGGCCAGAATCCGTCAAAACATGATGCTCGACATACACAACAAAAAATGTGTATTATTAGCACGAATAATAAAAATAAAGTTATTACAACGGCAACGTCTACCATCCAGAATACAACATTTTGCCATTTCTTAACACCGAATGTAGGACTGCAGCAACTATTAAGAAATTTAGAGAAGAAAGTGGAAAATTTCACATTATATGATTCCTGCGTTATAATGATAGGAGGAAAAGATTTTGAAACCAGTATGGACTACAGAGGTTTAGTTAGTATGCTCAGGACGGAACTGTTGAAAGTTAAAAATACGAATGTGTTTATTTGCTTACCAACTTTTCGACACGGGTTGCATACAAGTTTGTTATTTAACGAGCGTATTGATAGATTTAATAATTTACTGTACACTGATAACTTGACTCATGAATATGCATACATACTGGACTCGAACAAGAATCTTACGTACGATAATAGCAATTTCACTATTTTTAGGGGTGTTTTAAATAACAGAGGTCTTCGTCAGATTTTCAAAGATTTGAGCTTATTGATCAATGATGTCATGTTTGAAAACTTACAGAACTTTACTATCGAATCAAATAAAGTTGGTAACAACAACCACAACCTTTTAATGGATAAAACCGAGTTTTTTCGATCCTTATACAAGTAAACCCATTCTTATTCACCAAAATTCTGATCCTACACATAAGTTTAATGTAATTTTTCAAAACATGCAAAGTCTTTGGAATAAACTTCATATACTCGAAGATTTCATGGACGACAATTCACAGAATATACACGTCCTAGGAATTTCTGAAACCTGGCTTACACAAGCGAAGCTCGAGCTCATACATTTCAGTCAATATGACATCGCGGCTGCTTATTGTAGACAAAATTATGTGGGCGGCGGCGTCTGCGTTTTGATACGAAATGGCATCGAGTATATCCACAGACAGGACATTACAAATATGACTATTGAATATGTATTGGAAGTTTGTGCGGTGGAATTACCACAATTGAACATATTAATAATTGTATCGTATTGGAATTCTAGGGAAACAGATTTATTCTATAGTCAATTAAACAATATTTTAAATTATCTACAATTAAAATGTCATAAAAAGAGAATTATAATTGGTGGCGACTTAAATATAAATGTGAACGAAAATACTAAACATACCCGCAGTCTTCTAAATCTAATGTCAGAATACAATTTTAAACAACATATTAAAAAACCAACGCGAGTAACTAAAACTAGCTCATCATGTCTTGATTTAATATTTTCCAACTTCACTGACTTAACTATGGGGACATCTGTCCAAGATTTTGGTTTTTCTGATCACAAAAGTTCTTGTATTGAACTAAAAACTATTTCGCAAAATAAACAGACAAGCATAAAAATTACGAAAAGACTATATAGTGATAAAAACGTGCAGATTTTTAAAAATAAATTAAGATATATAGAATGGAACAAAATTATAGACATAAATAACGAAAACGTAAACCACAATTATAATAAATTACATAAATTATTAACTCAACTATTAAATCAATTTTTTCCCAAAAAAACAATTACAATAAAAACTAAATCTAAAAAGCACTGGCTTACTCAGGGCATTAAAAAATCTTGTAAAAATAAAAGAGCACTAAGTACATTATTAGTACAATCAAACAATGAAATAATAAAAAAACACTATCAACGGTATGCAAAATTATTGAGAAAAGCTATTGCGTGTGCGAAGAAATTACAATTTAGTTATAGAATGAAGGTTACAGATAACAAAATGAAATGCATGTGGAAAATAATAAATGAAAATGCAAACAAAACTAAAAAATTTTCCCATCATAACATAACGTTGATTATGAAGGATATGATAACGTTCGAACCGAAAAGAGTCGCAAACGCATTTAATAACTTTTTTGTATCAGTTGGTGAAGTGTCCACCACCGCAGGCTCGTCACGACCCGGGCGTCAAGTGCTGTGCCCTTCGGAAAACACAATGTTTTTAAGCCCAGTAGAACCGCGTGAAGTTAACAAATTAATCCGCAATTTAAAAAATAAAAATAGTGCGGGCATAGACGATCTCCCACCATCACTAATTAGAAAATGCGCTGATGAACTAACATTACCATTGACTCACATAATTAACCAATCCTTCTCAGAAGGTGTATTCCCTGACTCCCTTAAAATATCTTTAGTAAAACCGATTCACAAAAAGAATGACAAGACGGACCCAAATAACTACCGCCCTATAGCACTACTTCCGACACTGTCAAAAATAATTGAGAAGGCAATGTGCAATAGGTTGTACTCTTTCTGTGAAAAGTACAACATATTCGACGATTCACAAAACGGCTTCAGGAAAAACCGCTCAACTACTCTGGCAGTTTATAGATATATGCAGGAAGCTTTAAATACAATTAATAATAAACAATATGCGGTAGGACTTTTGCTGGACATGACAAAAGCCTACGATAAGGTCCAATACGACATTTTACTAAAAAAACTTAATGGTATTGGAATAAGAGGCATAGTGCACAAATGGTTCTCTTCCTACCTTCAAAATCGAAAACAATATGTGGAAGTCGACTACTTAAACAAAGAAACAGGCATAATAAGTAAAGTTAGGTCCGACGCTCAAATTATGAAATGCTCAATTCCTCAGGGAAGTGTTATCGGATGTATCATGTTTTTAATATACATAAACGACCTTCCAAAATGTATTGATGCAACTAGTATATTATTTGCGGATGACATATCAGTATTGACTTCTTGTAAAAATAATTTAAATCTAGAAATAAAATTAAATGCAATTTTAAACAAGATAATTTCATGGATGACTGATCATAATTTAGATATAAACTTCAATAAGACTAAAATAATAGAATTTAGACCGTATCAAAAAACACCATTAAACATTGATTTCTCAATAAATGACATAAAGATTGAAAGTGTTAATGTATTCACACTACTTGGGCTTGACATTGACACTAATTTAAATTGGAAAACGCACGTACAAAAAATAAAAAATAAAATTTTGAAATTTACATATGCCCTACGTCAATTAAAAAGATGTACAAATCAAAACACAGCTCTTACTGCATACTATGCCTACGCGTACTCGTGGCTGACGTATGGCGTTATTTTGTGGGGAAACAGCACGGATGCACAAGACTTGCTTATTACTCAAAAAAAGTGTGTGCGCATTCTAGCCAACTTAAAGACAACTGAAAGCTGCAAATCGCACTTTAAGCATTTAAAAATATTGACTCTGCCGGCGATTTATATTTTAGAAATATGTAAATTTGTGAGGCGCCACCCCACATTATATTTAAAAGAAGGAGACCAATCTCGACGCTACCCCTCACGATATAAAAATAATTTAATTAGACAGCCACCAAAATTGAAATTAGTGTCCTCTAGTTCACATTCAATGGCCATTACAATATATAACAAATTACCTGACGACTTAAAAAACGAAGAGAACAATTGTAAATTTGTTAAACTATTAAGAAAAAGGTTAACTGACAAATGTTATTATACAGTCCAAGAATATTTTGACGACAGACTATTTTAAAATATAATATTAGAATCAACTATCACGACTTAATTTAATTTAATTTAATTTTTGACATTTTGTAATAATTACTATAGTTTGATTTTATGTTATTTTAAATCAAATGCAATAATTGTTGTATAAAAGTATAAGTATTTTTAGAAAAAGTGTAAGAGCTTAGCACATTTAAATTTTTCCAAATTGTTGTTCGTTTGGGTATCCTCTTGCTATTGTATTGCATATTGCTATGCCCTTACAGGGTATCATATATTAAGGACTCACATGTTATACGAGTATAAGACTGTTGTAAACTTTTATATGAAGCAATAAATTGAAATTGAAATTGAAATTGAACTTTTCTCCACATCCTCATGATTTTGCATATTATCTGTACAGACTTCTTCAAAACAGGTCCAGAAACTGTCATGTGTTGATTCCATCGTTTTATCATTTTTCAACAAAAATACTCCCGTTACCTCCGCACGCAACGCAAAGAGCATTTTCATTAGAGCATATTCACATTATACCAGAAATAGAGACGGAATGTCATTTAATTTGTTTGAAAACTATTCTGCCATATCATTACTGTGACAACTGCGCTCCGATTTGGTAGCCCGAGTTCGAAACAATTGACGGGTGTCGTCAACTGTTTCACTTCAAATCGACCAGTTAACTTGAGCTTTGCTATAATGGACGATAATTGCAAAATTACGTATTTAATCTTTTATTATTTTTAGAGATATTATCTTTATTACAATAAATACAAAATATTTTTTGGAATATACGGAGACGTACACACAGGTCAGTAGTTGGCCTGTCTATATTTCAGTGCAAACGAGAGTTGATATTTAAAAGAGCTGTATCGCTAATATGTTACCAGGAATATATGGCCCTTATTTCGTCTCTATTTCTGGTTATATACTCGATCGCAAAAGAGGCAGGTCGTAACAAAACATTCGGCAGCCGAATATGCGGCGCTTCGGCCGAGAGTGTTGCCGACTATTCGGTATTCGGCCTAATCACTATTCGTGGCATTTCTATTAACAACAATTGACTAATTTGGTAGGCTTGTTTCAATGAACTTGTCATTGAATATCGTCAGAAATATCTTGTTGAAATTATCCCGTGTGCAGCGCGACATAACTGTTACGTAATTTGTCACCCCTCCCGCACCGCGCAGCTACCTCAGGAACTGACTCAGTTAAGTGGTAGACCTGTACTATGATCTCATTTAATATACAGTCTCGTGATGCTAAAATAATTACACCACCAAAACCAGAGCAATATTTTGCAACCCCTGTACCGATGAGCACAACGGAATTCAATCAGTTTCTAAAAGATAATCTAATGGGCGTCAGCGTAGTCACGACGCCATTCACCGAAACGAACTATGACGAAGGCATATTGCTCGCTAAGAAGAAGGCGTACGTTCAATCAGCTAAATTGAAATCAAAAAAGATAGAAAGTGTCGTGCGAAACCTAAAAACTTTGCCTTTTATAACTACTGCCAAGCTAATGGACGACTTTGACGCGGGAAATGAATTTCAAATGTTAGAAGATTTGGAAAATAGCTTAAGGAATGATTATTACAATGTCAAAGTACAAAGAAGAAGAATAGATGACGGCAACCCGAATGAATACTCGGCAAACATTGCTGACTATGCTATCAATGAAAAAGTTTTGGAAGATTTTAAAAGAAAGTTAAAATTTTTTGAAAAGGAAAAAGAAAAAGAAGCACATCGGACAAGCCCGGGAGATGTAGATATTATGATTATTGATTTAAATTACGATACACATTCGCCTGATGAAGAAACTGCCATGGAAAAATTATTAGAATCATCTGGTGAGAAAACTAACAATGTAACAACCGAAGTAGATATAGAACCAACAAAAACCATAACACCAAAGAAACCAGACCAATTCTCGAATAGTGTACAGAAACCAGATGAAACATCATATGGTATGCATAACAAACTTCTGTACGGGCCGGGTAAACATATTATTTCCCAGATAGAACGGCAAGATTTCACAGATAGGTCGAACTCAGACGGCTCTCATGAACTGTTTAACGATAACATGCTGGCAGATAATAAAGTGGATGATAAATTTCCACTGATGAGCGAGAATACCTTTGGCGAAATGACACCGAATACGAAGGACGATAAGGAATTTGGTCAGGATATGACTATTTACACACCAGATACGAAACAGGCAGAATTGCCGGAATTATTTCAAATTTTAACTAAAACGCACGATAAGAAGGAGCATGAGCAATCAAATGCAATTGTGATTACCAAGGAATGCTACACATACAGTGTCAAGTTCAAAACCCCAGATGATACAACTAAAACGTCTAACAATAGTAAGTAACTTATCTGGCTTCAAAAAAGATAGTTCATTATTAGAGAATAGGACAACTTTTCAGAAAATACTACCGAGAAAAATATTATTTGATACAATGGTTCCTTAATGAGGTTTCTTAAAGTCGAATACCGTGAATATAGTTATGACATTTTAAGACTAAATTATGTAATGTTTGCATCCAATACTTTTTCTACGAGTAAATAAAATAATGGAAAACAACCAATATTTAATGTATTTCTTAACAATCCACAAAATCCAAACCCAAAACCATCCAAACAAAAGCTATAAAAGAAAAAACCAGGAATATAGAATGGAAGTGTCCGTGATTGGCCAAGCACCGCTTATAGGTGAATATCAACAAATGAGTTTTATTGTAAGTTTTGGTGGCGCAATTTTTTTTTTAGTATCCGAGATTCGATTGCAATAAAATTTCATTTATATGATATGTGACAGGAACATATCCATTTTCATCAATTTCAGAGATATTAGCAATTTCAAAAGTTTTGGCGCCACCAAAGCTTAGAAGCGCCTCCAAAACACTTACTGATTGCACCAGAATGTATGTAAAAACAAACACAAATGAATTAATTTAATCGCGTTTTGATTTTTAGGTTTAATGAAATCACTATGTTAACGTCGCATTTTACCTTATAATAATCTACCTTATTAAAAATAATAACGCGCACACTAATAACGTACACACTCGTACGTAGCCCCGCAGTAGGAACCCTGCATAGCGGGTGCCATCGACACGCACATAGATAACCACAAATTACATCCAAACCCACGAATCGAAACCAAAATTTAATATAGGCCATACTAATATGTTACTAGTGTAACAAACCTACTTTATATATTAGACGGCTTTAAGTCAGAACGTTTACTTGTAGTTCACTGAGAATTCGCTAGATGGCATTGACTCATTTGGCGTTATTTCTGAATCGTGGTGTTTAGATTTTTCCCTATTATTCTAACGTAAGTGTGCATTTGATCTCCATTCACCTGACGGAAAGTGACGATGAGGTCGACGATGGAGCATGTACACCTAAAGACCTAAATAATGAATCGACTTGTGGAAACTGTTCAGATTATGGATTTCACCTCTGTACTGTAACACAATTTTGTTTATGTAGACAGAAATCGGAGAATACCGAGAGCTCAGTAAGGTTGACCAGGAGTTGAGTCGTTTCTTAAGAACTACTATCCGGTGATATTCCGTACGCTTATATAGGTTGAAATTAGACCTGTGTCGGTCAATCATTTTTGATAACCCGGGTCGATCGATCGATGACCCATGCGAAATGTGATCGGGTCAAATGACTCGATGTTCGATATTTTAGCGATCATATAATTATGGCGTTCAAAAGTGTCAAATTCTACAATTAGCTTTTATTCTTTCCTGCTGATGGGTAATGTGTCTATACTTAATGCATCATTGATAAGACACTAAAATTTCCTTCTAGAAAAACTAACTGTGTAACAAAACAAAAATACATAACAAAAAATTTATGAGCATTCAAAATTACTAATTTATTATTCATTAATATTAGCTAGTGGCACACCCCGGACACTCCATACAACGGTCGAAAATTATTTACCTACTACTACTACATACAGCAAAGCGCTATCTCCACACGCGCAAATGTGTGCGTGAAGTGGCAGGGCTACCCATCACTTTCTCGCACTATTACGTTACGTGGTCAGAGCGGCAACATTGCAAAAATTCTGACGCGAATCTGTTATCTATGATTCTATTAATAGAATCCTAATAATTATACTTGTCTATTAGGTATTTATATCGATATATTAGTATATTTTTCATTAATTCACTAACTAGAGTAATATTGAAGATTTATTTCAAAAATATATTAAAAGCACTTAAAATGTTATATTTTGGACATGTACGTTTTAGTAAGGTAACCAAGGTATTAATAATTAGATATATTCACTACCTACGTAATATTTATCGGCAATACGAATAGAAAATTCGCGAAGTCATCGCGTCTCATTATATTGATATAATAAATCTGTATTTTTTATACATACATATATTATATTACTCTGCAGTAAATAAAAGAAGAAAAACTGAATGAGTCTCAGATATAAGTTTTTTTTTTACTTACTTCGTCTCATCTTTCGGAAAATGATGATAAACAGCACAGCACAATTCACGACCATTATAAATAGTAACGTAAAATGATGTTTCATATTAACGTACAAGTTTCGTAATGAATAAATGAAAACTATATTCAAATATCAAAGCCGTCTTTGCACGAAAACAGCTCGCCGGCAGCCTTGTTGTCGTTCAGTCAATGTGACCGGCAATGTGCGGAGCGTGGTGCGGTATCTAAAACTAGGAAGGGACGGAGAGTGTCCGTTCTCTATTCTTTATTCTCTGCTCGTGCACTCTTAAATAAACACAACATAACGAAAAACAGATTAAACTTACAAAATTACCATGTAATGGACACTACGCCATGGAGCAATTAGGATTAATGATTGATAGACTCATTGATCCGTTAACCCGTTGTCTCGTTGATCGATTGCTTGACTTTTTGGTTCGAACGAACGAAGGTTTTATTGAACGAATGCTCTATCGAACAAATGGTTTTCGAACGGGTCATAGCACGGTTTCTGCTCTGGTGAAAATCACAGACGATATTCGTCTCAATATAGAAAATAAAAAAGTTACTGTCCTCACTTTATTGGATTTCAGCAGTGCATTCAGTACTGTTGATTTTGACTTGTTTCTTGCTGTGCTCAGAACTTTAAACCGAGGTATGTTTAGCCTTAGCCGAATCCTGGTTTCGTTCGTATTTGTTTGGTCGTTCCCAGCTCGTAAAGACCGGTGACATGCAGTCAGACTGGTGTAGCCTTAGGGCTGGCGTTCCGCAGGGTGGGTTTTATCTCCTATACTTTTTTTCCGTCTTTCTCGGTGGAATTACATCACCACTCATATCCTCTTTCCATCTGTATGCCGATGCCCTCCAAATCTATACAGCAGCCCGTCTTGACGATATAGTTACTGCTATCGGCACATTGAATTCCGACCTACAAACGGTTTCGGTATAGGCAAAGAACTACGGATTTCTTTTAAATCAACACAAAAGTCCCAAGCCATAATTATTGGCAGTCGTAAAATCTTTGCATCACTTCATTCTCTCAAGCGGCTGCAGTACTTTCTTCCTCTGTCTACCAAATTTATGCTCATACGCAATTTTCTTTTTCCTCTTCTGGACTATGGTGCCGTCGCCTATCTTGATCTTTCGGAGGACCTTCTTAATAAATTGGAGCGGCTGCAAAATCAATGTATCAGATTCGTGTTTGGATTGAATAAGTACGACCACATTTCCAAGTTTAGAGATGAATTGGTGTTGCCTTTTCGTTTACGTAGAAATTGTCACATTTTATGCTTCCTCTATAAAATCCTGTTCCATCCCGCTTCACCTAGCTATCTACGTGAGCGTTTTCAATACAGTCAGGCTATGTGTGACCGCCTGCGTTCTGGCACTAATTTGTCCCTCGTCCTTCCACAACACAGTTCCCAAAAAAATTCGGACTCGTTCACAGTAAATGCGGCCCGTATGTGGAACCTTCTCCCAGTCAAGGTCAGATAGTCGCTTTCGGTCCGGGTTTTCAAGGGTGCTCTTTTGAAGTTTTGGGATTGTTCAGACTCCACATGTTAGAGCTTATGAAATATTTATTTACATTTGATATATTTATTTATAGTTTTATGCATTCCTTTTTTTATAGGTTTTGTATGTATTAATGTATCAACATTACGCAATATATATGTATTCGTATGTACATTTAATATAATAATTTTATCTGTGTATTTATTGAGTATAGTATATTCCATTTCTTTATTTATCTATTTTTAGTGCCATCCCAAAAACCAACTTTCCTCTCAGATTTTCAAAGGTTAGTTGGAAGAAATCCCTTTATGGGATAACCTCGTCTTTGTACACAAATATTTAAATTGTTGGAATCATTTTGATTCCATCGAACACGATCGACACACATCTAGTTGAAATTTGATTGCCCATCATATAGGGTGAAATCTATCATCTCGCGGAACAGTTTCCACAAGTCGATTCCCTTCTTGCAAACAACTGCCCGGACTTTCCGCATATAGGGTGAAATTGTATAGGCGTCATACAAGGTGAAAATAAATCTTCCTTCAACAACTTGGAGTTTTCACTTGACTTGTCGTCATCTCACGGCGAGAGACCCCTTCCTTTACACTAGTATTTTGGTGTCATTAAAATAATTCAAAGAAATAACACAAAAATATACGAAAAAGACAAAAATAAGCACTTTAAAAAAATAACAAATATAGAAATAGTTTATCAGTTTTTATTAGTGAAACTGTCTGAGAAATTATAATAACTAAATCAGTTCTAAGTTATGATTCGTAATATATTTAAGGTTTTGTCAATTTACTCGAAATAATCTGAATATGCAAAATAAACTGGGATATACCAAAAATAGATAGAAAATTGATGAACAATTCTGAAAAAAAAAATTAATTAATTTAGTGACTAAACTGAAATTTTTTATTTGGTAAGCTTTAAAACAAAATGCAATAAATGTTTGTAAAAAAATATAATCATCAAATGCTCACTATATTTTATGATATTTTAACTGTTTAGTAGCCATTTTAAAATCAACTTTTGTAATCGCTTAGGTTAGAAAAAATATTATAATATGTTAAAAGTTTTCATCATCACTCAGAGCAGTAGCTCCAGCTTTAGTTTCTAAATATGTGCCATCTCCTTTATCTTCATCTTCGTGACGTAATGAAGTATCTCTAGTTATCAAACTTATATTTTATCGGTGTTAATGTTGAAAATTCGAGTTTGTACCATATTGTCTATTTAATGAATCTACATTCGATACCTCTATAGAAGAAGTTGTATTTAATAAAAATTTGTTTGCCCCTTTAAAACGACGCACAATTGCAGTTGCTCTACCTAGGGAATGAGTTGAATTGGCAGTTGAAGAAATACGATACACAACGCTATCTCTACGAATGTTTCCTAAAGATAAACTGTAGAAACCCAAATGTTTACCTTATGGACATACGGTGGGTTTGTCCAAACATTGATGCTTGATGGTAGATAAATCACGGAGTGCTAATTTAGAGTTATTGCTTTTTCTCCGAATAATCTGAAGAAAATTCATGTAACTAGGAAAAGGCCTCAAATCTTAAAGAATGAGCTAGTCTTTTTTACAATTTCGCAATCTAGCATCATTGTGAGTGTGGCCATGGCAAGGGTGCCCCAGAGTTGGAAGATTTTTAAAGAGAACTGCAAATCAATTAGTGTCGTTTGGGACGACATTACTGACATTGATTCGTTTATCAGACGTTAAAAGCTGCCAGTAATCATATTTAATTTAAATATGTAGAAGATAACGAAGTTGTAGAAAAAGACTGACAATGGTCAATGGTTTAGGATTTGAAGCCTTTTCCTGATAACATTAATTTTCGTCGGGTTATATGGAGACAAAGTAACATCTCTAAATTAGCACTCTGTGCCTGATTATGCGTCAAGTCTCATGTTTGGACAAACCCACCTCATGTCCTCATGGTAAACAAGTGACTACAATACATTTATGTATCGTAGTTCGTCAACTGCCAGTGAAAACAACAATGAACTAATTTTTCGTATTTGACATCCTGAACGAAATTGATTGAATGATATCAGCGTTAATTTAAGTAAAATACAAATTTAAAAGATCTCTAAGGTACAAATAGATTAAAGAGTAATTAAGTAATTTTCGGTTATCTAAAAAATTATGAATAACACATATCTTTCTTAAGTTTATTGGACCAATTAAAACGTAATAGTCTAAAACATTATTCGAAAGTGTACATTCAAAAATATCATAACAATTTAAAATTTGGTGGCGTTTTTAAGTTAAGGTGGTAACACAAACGCCACCATAACCACCAAATTTGAGCCATGTATGATGAAATCTCAAGAAATAGATTAAGGGAAAAAGAACTTATTTTTCATTAGAAGTGATTAATTAAATGGAGAAAAAACAAGATAATACGCGACGTTTCCTTGTTTATTTGCGTCACATGGAGTAATTGGTGTTTGTACAACATTATAAAATTTTATTTATTAACAAAAAACATGAAGAAATCAGGACTTAATCGGACGCGTTGCAACCCCCGTGGTATCGAACGGACTGAAAAGACGTGTGTCAACATCTTGTAGCCGTACGAATTTTTCCAAAAACTACCCATACCTTAGTCTTCATTTTTTATTTTGTGCTAGAGTTGTCACTAAACCGACAATTAAGTCCCGATTTTTCAAAATCAATTGGTGTGCAAATCGTGTAAATTTAAAACAATATAAATATCATTGTTATTTCACTAAAATATTGATTTAATAATCGATTTTATTATTAAAACTGCATTTTTTCTGATCTAGAACTATATATATTTTTATCCGGTCTTTTATTTAGTGACCTTTACACATATAGCGTACGACCGCGTCTAGCTTTTTAATTGATTATTCTTTCAGTGACAACCAATGATATATCAAATTCAACAAATGTGCGATCCAAGTTACATTTGAGGCATTTGTTGAAGAAAACGACAACGGAACCGGAAGATAGTGGGTACATCTATTTTTTATTTATTATATGATTTATTTAGAAATGATTTTTCTAAAAAATGAATTGGGCCTGTACTCTCGTTCTCAAATCAAATAAGTAATACTCGATTAAATTAAAAAACACTATGAAGTACGAAGCTTCATTCGTATCAGGCGTCGTTTTAAATTGGTCGGGTATTACATATTTGACAGTAATTGTTTCGGACAGAATGTTGGACGGAGAATGAGAATAGACCCCCATATGACACTTTAGCACACGCCTTAGGCTGCTACAAGACGGACTGCATGCGCGAAATTGATATGTTAGACCGGTTACACTAACGATTTATAGTCGGTCGCATCCATGCAAACACGCCACTGCATCGTTTCGTCCACCAGAATTCCCTAGCACAATCCCCCAGGGGATCCCCCAAGCAGCACATCCATATCTAAATACATACTATAAGATATCTAATAGAATTTAATTCGATTGAATATTTTAAGAGTTCAAATTCCCTCAAGATATCTCGAAGAAGGTTTCTAGATAATTTAAAGTAAAACTGAGCACAACTTTATTAGTAGATCACAAGAGTGCTTTGAGAAACTATCTGTAGGTAGTGTTAAGAGTGATTCTTATCTTTTTTCTCAATTAACACTTCTAGAATGCTACAAGACAATTTGTAGAATGTAGACAGTTTTTATTTAGTCTTGTAGAGGTTTTAGATAATTTATAGTCTATGATAGTTTTCTTAATAATGCTATTTTAAAACCAAAATACGAAAGCGTTACAAACATAAGACGCAATTCTCTTAATACTAATATATTTCAAGTTTAATGGCTTACAAAATATAAACTATTAAAATTGCAACATGGCGAAATTAGATATAATATTTCTGACTTTTTCGCGCAATGTTTAATCGGTTAGAAAGCGCAAATTGACGTGCGACTTTAAATACATTATGAAAAGTGATGTAAAACCTGCCATAAAAATAATACGCTCGCTAAATTTTAAATATTTATGTATAAAATATAAACTTAATAAAAATACAGTATTCGATTTTCGGTTTTAAATATTTATAGAAAGCTTAAATATACAAAATAACTCACAAAACAAACCATTTCCAAGAAGTTCTAGGCTTCTTCAAGCTAATTTCAACTTTAATTTGCTTTTTAAAAAGAAAATAAATTTTTCTCGGCTACTTCATAGTCAAAAAAAACGTTATTCTCTATAATTATATGGAATGTGTTATATATGACTAGAAAGGTAGATAAATTCCCCATCATATAAATATAAGGAATATTTTAATGACATACCTAACTTATGTTGGAAGAAATAAAATTTTCATTACAAAATTGAGGTTATTTCTTCACGCCAACCACATTCCACATAATTATTTCACTGTACTCTATTGATAGACGGCACAATACACATACACAGCATTGAAGTACAGTAGTTTACGCGCTCATTTCAATTGTTTTTATCATTTCACAACACGGAATTACTTCACAATGTTTATTTATTTGTCAACAAACAAATGCCGGCCATGACAGGCCCGAGTGCGAATTACGACTATTGTATCCAGCGTTGCCAATTTGTGGAGAATTCCCCAAATTGTGGGGAGTTTCAACTAGATTGGGGATATAGTGGGGATTGGCGCTATGTGAGGAAAATGTGGGGATTCTAACATTTTATCATTTTGTTTAATCTATCAATTGCTGATGCATCGCTAGTTTGATCGTTACTGTTAGAAACAGTGTGATGGACTATATCGACGTGTTTTTCAACATCGCACATCACTCGTATTATTAACAAGCAGCTGAAATAGAATTATTATTAGAGCACATGGTTCTGCATTGTAAAATTACCAGTCGGTGCGTGTTGAATTCGCGATTCTTTCTAGAGTATCTTTCTTTATGTTAAAAAAAGCTTGCAGCGTTGTTGTGTTGATAGCAAAACGCAAGAGTAGACCACTAAAGGTTTTAAGATAAGTTTTTTGTAACAAACGAGTTATATTTTTAACATAACATTACTATATTAACATTTTATTCATTGGCGTTTAAAAGCGTTTAAAAACATAAGTTGTTTAACTTTTGTAGTTGTTAACCGTTGAAATGGGAAAAACTGCTTATTTTTTAACGTTAAAACGTACGTTTAAAAAAGCGTGCTTGTAAAAACGCGTTTCGCTATGCGCTTTTTAGTTTGACGCTTAAAAAGTCGTTTAGAAAAACGTTTAAGCGCATAGACTTTATGTTTAAAAAAAGCTTGCAACGTTATGTTCAAATAATTTGTTTAGGAAACATAGATGGCGCTACTTGAAACTTAGACACGTGGTAAAAAATGAGTATCTATAGAACTGGCCAGTGACCAACGTTTACGCTTAAAATGAAAAGCGTGCTTATGCGCTTATTTTAAAAAGCAGACCTTTTTTAAGTGCTTTTCGTTTAAACGCCCACCTTTATTAACAGGCACGCAGTCCATCTTTTAGCAGCCTTAGGCTATGGCGCCCGTAACGCACGACAGTATGTTATAATAATAATAATACATTAAAATATTTTATTAGTATTTTCAAGAAAACTCCAGCTTGTTCCTTCCATCCGTAACAGAAAAGTACACACAGATCGCCAACACTGTCCAGGCCGCTGTCGGCTCCCTCAGTCCACAAAGTCTGATCACAATCGACCTCCCCACTTACAACGAACCAATAACCGAAGAAGATTTTCAAATCGACCCCAGTATTCAACGCCCAAAATTCCGCATAGTTGACTCAAAACAATGGCAGTATGATTCAAAAACTTAAAAAGTGAATACTTAAAATTGTGGAGTGAACAGTTTTGGCCGTAAAGAAACCTGTAAAAACTGTTACGGATGGACAAGTACAAGACTCCTAATGCCAACAAAGTTTTTAGCGAGGAAGTTACACGTCCGTGGATGGCCGATGCTTATCAAACGCAGCTGCCCGGGGAAGGTGAAACTTTTTACAATAATTCATTTATATCCACCCTCTTGTATCCGTAAACCACCAAATAACATTTCTAGGCGATAGTTTAAATTAGATTTGACTGAGTATGGCTGCGTCTTCAGGATAATGTCTGGGCGTACTATATAAACATATTATTGTTATATTAATATTAATATATTATTATATTATTGAGAGTGTGCGTTGTTATTATTATTATTAAACAAACATTACATTTACATAAAATTAAGTCATTAAAAAACCATAATACAATATTTAAATATTCATTTACAATACATTTTTATTTTTATTATTACATTACATTTAAGTACATTACAAGTACCAGTATTTATGTAATTAAAAATCGTAACAAAATAAACATTGCATACATGTAAATAAACATTACGTTACAAGTCCCAATGTTCATGTCATTCAAAAACCATAATTAAATAAAGATTATTTTATTTTCAAGTAGCAAGAAACGGATGTCATTAAATTATTTTACTCTTACTTAATCTTGAAGTCTCCTTTTCGATTACGTTCGATATCGTGGGGTCTACTCCCGCCCGAAACAATTACTGCCAAATAACTAATACTCGACCAAACCATTAAAAAAATAAAATGCATTTATATCGGACTACAACAAGATCCATAAAGAATGTTAGTATTACAACAAGAACTGAAGTAACTAAGTTAGTACTTAATCTTAGATGAAGAGAGGACCAGTGCCTTAGCAGTCCACTGACCCATGTGTGTGCGCGCACTCTACGCATTGTTGCGGCGCAGCCCCTTCGAAGATGTGAAAGCTCGCATCCGCGAAGATCCCACACGCTCTACAATGTCGCGACAGCCGGAACAGAACCCTGAACGCATCGCATTTAGTGACCTTTGTATATGCCTGCACCATAAATTACAGGTGTACAGCGATGTGTAGTAAGCTTACCATGTTCCGAACATCGACTGAACCTACGCGCTATCATATTAGCTCTCATTGCTAATGCTCTACGTTCCCTCTCAATATCTCGTCTGTTATAAAGTGACCAAGATATTTAAAGGAGGTCACTCTATTCAGCTGTTGACTGTTAAGAAGAATGGGGGGGGACAAGTGATAGGCGCTTACTTTCTGCCTTAAAAACCATGTATTCACTTTTAAGCGCACTATATTTAAGATTGTGCTTCATGGCATTCGATTCGCATGTGTCTATAAATACTCTTAAGCCACCGACAGATAGGCTCAGCAACACCATGCCATCGGCGTAACTTATATTATTAAAGCAGACCCTGTCTACATGGCATCCGACATGCGTGCTGCTAAGCTCACCTATCAGGGCATCAACGGTCCACCTTGTCTGACTCCGGACTTCAGACGGTACTCTGACTAGGTCTTGTCGGATGACAAGACGTCACGCCATCGGACAGTTTCTCTGACCCGCGTACCAACATCCAAACAACCGTGTAAATTCCCTGGGAAATTTAACCTCGTCAAGCTTCTTCCAAAGTAATTGATAGTATACAAGGTCAAAAGCTTTGGAGAGATCGAAAAAACACGCATACATAGGTGTTTTTCTACTGCGTGCTTTAGACATGTGATCGCGCTCTCAGTGGGTAGTCCGGCTCGAAAGCCGAACTGGGCGTCATGTATCTTCAAACATTTGTCCAATTGCACTTTCAAGTGTTCTAGCAGTAATTGTAAACAGGTCTGTAGTTCGTCTTGTCAGATATGTCACTGGTTTTATTTTTGACGATGGGAACCACAATACTTTTCGTCATATACACGGGCAAATAAGAATGATTAATACAGACATTAAATAGTAATCATGATAACAGACGAGGCAAGTGTGGTCCGGTAAACTGCAAATTCTCGACACTTAAATGGTCGTGACCAGGAGATTTCAAAATTTTACAAATGTCACTCCCCAACTCGTTGTCAAGCAACTGCAGCCCTTCGGTCGTGTCACTAGAAGACTTTACATTAAAATGCTCTCCAAACATGTTAGCAATACTCTTAACGTCAGAGATACCATTGACACTAACAGAGTGTCCAGGCCTTGCTTCCATTTTCTTGGCGAGTTTCCAAAAATTACGAAAATCGTTATTGCGATGATGCGTAGCGAGCAAATCCATTTTGATTTGTTCTTGGGGCTGTTGAACCCACCAACTCTAGATTTAAATGTTTTTCGGCTAGAGAGTACATAGCGTTAAATGCGTACCCCACCGTGAGTTTACCACACAAAACCCAATTTTGAAACAAAGCCTGGCCTCTCTATGGACTTCGCTGATATGCTTGTTCCACCCTATGACTTATCACGACACCACTTGCGACGACCTTACTGTATTTAGCTGCGTCACACAACGCAGTTATAATAGGCATATGATGTGAATGAAGCTTCACACAAGATATTGTCTTTTGACTTTCGAGATTTTTTTTTATTAAAAAAAGAAGTGCGCATTTACTTCCATCTCACCTGATGGAAAGTGACGATGAAGTCGACGACGGAGCACTATTTAGGTGGGCATCACCTACACAATGCCTATTCACTCTCGCCTTGAAAAGGTTCAAGTTATAACGTTCAGGAAACAAGTTTGCAGGCCGGGAATTAGTGGAATTCCCTGTTATTGCTGTTCGCCATATAAATGTGGAAGCGAAACGCCTCGTGGGAATATCCACAACAAAGAGATGTATCTCGAGCCTATGCCTGGTCCTACGATGATAGAAAGGGGAAGGCGAAATTAAGTCGTGCAATTCCCTTGCACTCTCCGTGATAGTATAGTAGAGTACCATTTGACATTAATTGTTTCGGACAGATGTCGATGACGAAGAACTTGAGTAGTACCATATAGTACACTGGTACCCCGATTGTATAGACAGATTTGGCTATTTTGTATTGAATCTTGTAATGTGGTTAAATATTTTAGCGCTGACAATGAAACCTAAACGCCTCGAAGTAACTACAATATATGGAGGATCAACGAAGTCTATGTTGAATATGGTGTCACCTAGAGTCTTGCAACGCAGAAGGCAAATCCGAGTACCAAAGAGAACAGGAGGTGAGCTACCAGCTTTATCTTTAGAAAAAATTTAACAAAAACTTCGCTGTAGTAGGTTAAAGTTTAGTCCGCTAAAATTACCGATTAGTGTATGTTAATGTGTCTATGATGGCAATTAATCTGTACAGGAATAACTTAATAAGACAGGACAAGAAGAACCCTAGCGCCCTCAGGGTGCCAACATCAAGGAGAGTGTGCGATGGAATTGCATGATTTCATCCGGCCTTCCCCTTTCCATCATCGGGACTGTGTTTCCAAGTTGTGGATACTCCCAGGATTCTCACGAAGCGTTTCGCTTCCTGAGTGGAATTCCCTGCCTACGGACTTGTTCTCCGAGCACTATAACTTGGACCTTTTCAAGGCGACAGTGAAAAGGCATTATTTAAAATAGATGTACATTGTCGACCTCATCGCCACTTTCCGTCAGAGATGGAGGTCAAATGAGCACTGTAGTAGGAGTGGTGTACAGGGTGGTAGAGATGCGCTCGGCTAGCTGGTGCCCCCTTACTACGTCCAGGAATCAAACGACGAAATTTGGTGAAGAAGACTTGGTTTATTGTACAACAGCTTACAATCTGGCCTACAATACAAGAGCATCCAATAAAAGGATTTCGTCCCGTTGGTTGGATGCAAGCGCGGCGCAGAGTCCGCGACATGTCCCGGTGGGTGCGAATATTACAAAAAGACACTCATGTCTCGTAACCAGTCCCGAAAGATGGACGCGAGTTCGAGATGCTTCCGCTTAGTAGTGAGGATAACCGTAGCAACGCAATCGTTGAATCGATTAATGTCATATAAAATACTGGCGATAGATGAAACTACTTTAGTGAAAATTTTAACACCCCGATTCAGAAATTGCGTTTTCTACGCCAATGCCATCTAGCGGTGAACTTCGGAACTGTTTTACTAATATTGCCAAAGTTATTGTGTTACAGCACTTAAAATATAAAAAAGGTGTACTATATAAATATCAATCATTTCATATGTTGTCAATTCAGATAATTTGTACGTGGTATAATATCACTTTTTATAAATAATAAGTTTAAACCCGACTTGCCGTGGTACTTGTCTGTTCGATATTAGGAGTGTTATTTCAAATCCGGGGGCGCGGAAAAAGGAAGCAAAATTACTGACATTGATTATCTGGCGTTAGAGGCTGCCAATAATAATATTCAAATTTGAAATTGTAGAAAAAAATCTGGCTCATTCTTTAGGATTTTTTTTGGTAGCCTTTTCCTGATAGAATGAATGTTAAAAAGTAATAACTCTCAATTAGCACTCCACGTCTTATCTAGCATCAAGCCTCAATGTTTGGACAAACCCACCGTATGTCCTCACGGTAAACATTTGGATTTCTACAATTTATCTTTAGAAAACATTCGTAGACATAGCGATGTGTATCGTAATTCTTCAACTGCTAATTAAAGCAACAATGAACTCATTCCCTTCGACTGTGCGTTGTTGAAAAGGTAAACAGTTTTTTATTTAGTCCAAAGACAACAAGACAACCTTAGAATAATAACGCATAGAAACCTAGTCCGCACACGCTAAGTGAGGCAAATTGAAGCGCTCCCAATGGGCCTACACGAGCGGGCGGGCCTGCGGTGCTCAAGGTCAACTTGCACCGCGAACAGCTCCACAATTTTAGCTAAAAAATGACGAAATGTGCGTAAATGACGGTACTTATACTACACTTTTGAGGGATTTGTTGTTCCATGGCATCATTATTTGTATATTTGTGTGCGTGCCGACGAGCGTA